TGGATGTTTGTTGATGTTCAGACCGCAGATCGAATCCATAGCCTATTAACCTAAGCTCACCTCCACCTGGTTCCACCTCACCTAAGCAACTTGCAGCCCCCTTCCCAACAAGCACTGCCAGCACTCATCCTGCTTGTCTTCCTAGGTCCTGCATGCATTTTATTTTATGTCTTTGCTCAAGACCATTATGTGAAGATCTGTCTCTCACCTTTCTTCTATTTGAGTCTATATTTCTTTCCAGACCCCCTGTGCAACTTTCCTGATTCTACTCTCCATGACCCCAGAACTCATTTACTTTTCTTAATTTTCGGTGCCTGGATACATATGATAAAGGCAGAAATGATCAGACAGCAACAGAGGTGTCCTGACCCTTGAAGACAGGTACGGCATGACCAGAGAAGGTGTCAGAAGTTGCTATCACAAACAAATCACATAGCCTTCTCATTGCCTTGCAGAGTCTCTCTGGGACCCCCCTCTTCACTTTAGAATATCCAGATCTACAAATGATCTAATCTGCTTCCCCTGTATTTGTGTTGGACTAATCTCATCTAATTCCAGGTTGATCTCCCACCCATTTCTGACAGGCTTTCTCATAAATTAGTAGTTTCATTGCATCCCCTGTGGAACTACTTCCTTCAGTCTGTACCCTTCCTCTCTGATTCCCCCCACTCGCCAAGGATCAGGTGTGCTCACCTGGAGAGCTGGCCAATGGTTAGAATCAGACTGGATATGGTATTTCACTCAAAGCTTCCAGGAGTAGAAAGATTCAGACTGTAAGGATTATCTAAGTTTTTAGAGAGAGCTTAATATCAAAAGTAAATGCCATAAGGTCCAAGAGTTGTACACAAAAATAGGAGGCAAAGCCAAAAGGTCTGTGGCATGGTAGCCAGTGAAATGGGAGGCTAGGCAAGCGGGTCTGGCTAGATCGTAAACTCTGTGCAGCAGGGGGCCTGCCTGTCTCATTCATTACTGTATCCCAGCGCCTCAAAAATTCCTCGCTCGTTGTCAGCACTTGGTGTTTGTTGAATGAAAGAAGGTCTTGGATGACTGCTACAGTCTGGGCTGGTGTTTCTGAGGCTATGCTCTCTGAGGTTTCTGAGGTTCTGCTCTCTGAGGCTATGTAGTCTAGAGGCAATTCATGGCCAGTGCGTTAGAAGGCACAGGGCTCTGCTCAGGGCAATGGAAGGTTGGAGTTACGCCAGTACCGTCTCATCCTAGATTTGTCTGGGGTCTCTATGGCTCCATGCAGGCTTGTCTCATCTCACCACTTAGCTTGTCAGCCTCCTGTCTTTTTCTAGGACGGTGCTGCGAATGCAGCTGGCACTCAGAAAACACCAGTTAGTTCAGGTTGAATTGAGCTGGGCTTCCCTGTGTAACTCTTGAAGTTGGCTGTGAGTTATAAGGTTCCATTGTTTCCATTACTTTCTACATTTGTTTCAAGAATATCCTTTCATTGAGGAAAAAAAAGAATATGAATTGGATGTTTGCAGCAAGATCTGTAGCTTAATAATTATGACTGAATTATATAGTTCACTACATCTTAGAATTTAGAACAAAGCCATAGCCTTTTGAAGTTGGTTTCCATGACATGTTCCACCCCATTTCCTTTCTTAAAAGAACACAAGGGCGAATCCTACCAGCTTCTGAGGCAGCTAGTCATCATGTGATTTCACAATTACCCTCCAGATTGCCAGGATGAGACTTAGATTTTTCAGTTGTAATTCAGTGTTATTCTAAGCAAATAAGTTTCACTTAGATATAAGCAGCCATTGATTTAACATCTTTTTTTGACATATAAAAATCAGACTGAAAATTATCCCAAACATTATCTTGTTACTATCTTGACAGAGGTCCAGATTTTGTAAAGTGAGAAATATTATTATACCTGAGCCTGGAACTAAAACAGGGTTTCTCAACCTCAGCACTATTGACATTTTGGACCTGATAATTCTTTGTCCTGTCATATGTTGTAGCATCCTCAGCCTCCACGTAACAGATGCTAGGAGCACCGTCCCTTCCCCCATTTTGGCAACCAAAAATGTCCCCAGACACTGCACATGTCCCTGGGAGGGGGGCGGAGGCAAAATCACCCTGGTGAGAACCATTGATCTAAAACAGTCCTGAGGTCCAGTGTAATGGGGCCTTATTTTTAAGGAGGTCTTTTGATTCTCCAGAAACTTCCAAACTGTATCACCTTAGTATCATAGCAGATCAGGTAGCAGTTTTTCTGCTTTTAAACAAATATATTTAGTTGACTGTGCTCTTTCAACCTCTCTAATACTAGTGCTATATTAGATTGTAGACTCTTTGAAGATAACAAATGTCCTTTCCTTTTTCTTGAATTTCTTCACAGAAATAAAAATGGTGTTTGAAATGATGGAACAATTTAGTATATGTCAACTAACCCCACAGAAAACTGAGCTAGAAGAAATTCATTTGTGCTTTCAATTAGCAGAATGGATACGCCATGACAGCATGATTCTTTTTTTCTCTTTTGTTCACTGTTGTGTTTCTAGCACCTAGAAGAGCACCTGGTACATAGGAAATGCTCAATAAACATTTGGTGAATGAATTGTGTCACTTCCCTTCTAAAAAAATGTTTAATGAGGTCCCTCCCATCTCTTAAGGTATAACATTTAGAATCCTTAGACTGGGTCTGAAGGCTCTCTTTATTCTGCAGTTTCCAATCTTCACCCCTGCTTCTCTGCTACACAATCCCACTCATCTGACCCGAATTTACTTACTAAAATTTTCTCAAATCCCCATGAATATCTTCACCAATGCACAACAGCTCATTTTGTTCTCTTTGTTTAAAATGTTTTTTCAAGCTCTTAATAGTCAAATACATACAATACATACTTCAAGGGTCAGCTTATTTCATCTCTCTCTGTAACGCTTCCTGATTCCACGAACTCATAGGCACCTTTCCATACTCAAAACTTAAGACTTCTTGGTCCGTATCTCTCCCTGAGCATTTTAATTCTATAAAACACTGCACCTTTCACCTTACTATTCGGACTTATTTTCATATGTGCATGTCATCTCTCTCCAAGTACAAGGCAACCTTTTAGAAGGCAGAAACAAATTATCATCTGTTTTTGACACCATGCAGTCTATTAAATGATATCTACATAGTGAAGGAACATTATTCTCATTTATTCTTTTCATTCATTTATTCAACTAATATTTTTGCATGCCTACTCTGTGCTAAGCACGCGTGAGGAAGCGACATAAATATGGTCCCTGTCCTCATGAAGTGTTTAGACCATTTGGAGAAAACATGGCATCTAATGTTTTGAGAACTAGATTTATAGTCAGAAGACTTTGGTGTGAATACTATTTTGCCACTTATTAGTCATGTGGTCATTTAAGCTCTCAGCATCTCAGTGTCCCCATCTGGAAAATGGAAATGGTAATGCTTACTCTGTCTATCTCTCTTAATAGAGAATATCAAACCACATTGAATTTTAGGTGCAAATGTCTTCTAAGTGATAGGATGTGGTTGTTTTAATTTGTCCACAAATTCTTTGACACTTTTTCCTTCAAGAAGTGGAGCCCAATTCTCTGCCTCTTGGGTGTAAGCTGGACTTAGTGACTTGCTTTTAACAGATAGAATATAGCAAAAGTAATGGTGCGCAATTTTGCAGACTGGGTCATAAAAAGGGAGGGTGGTTTTGTCTTGGTGACTCTATTCTTTGAATTACTTGGTCTGGGGGAAGACAGCTGCCATATTGTGAGGCTGAGACTTCCTGCCAACGTGTTCAAGCTTGGAAGCAGAGCCCTCACTCAGCTCCAGTCAAGCCTTCAGATGACAGGAGCTCCAACCAACAGCTTGACTACAACCTCATGGAGGAACCTGAGCCAACCACTCAGCTAAGCTGCTCCTGTCTCATGTGAAACCACGTGAGACAATATATGTGTTATAAGTAGTTAACTTTTGTTTGGGTAATTTGTTATATAGCAGTGGATAGCTAATACGTAGAGTACAGTACTAAAGAGACTTAAGGTATTAATGTTGAATATGCTAATATTTGTTGAATGAAGAATATCATAATTTACTATGGTTTATTGCTAAACGATGAGTTAAAAGTGGAAGAAAAAGAAGCATAAAAAAAGAAAATTACAAAGCCTTAAGAACTAGGAAACAATCAGATGGATGTAAAACTTCTGTTGGGTGATTTGCAGGCATTTCTCATCCTGCCACATGCTTCATTTTCTGAGAAATATCAACCTGTGACAGTGACTTCAGGCTATATGCTAAAGGCTACAGGCTATATTGTTCATTCCTACTGACTGCTTTGTCTTATTCCATTTTCAGTTCTCATTTTGAGCTAAAATTGATAGTTTAATTAAATAAGAAATAAAAAGCATACTTCTACTCTATGTAGAACATCCTTTTCTGTGTTAGAGAAAGTCACCTTGGCTCTTTGTTAAGCAAAAAGGCCATAGCTATGGAAATTTATGATTTGTTTGCATCAATGCCAACTTCTGAAAGTCACTGCTATCCCTTTGCCACAGTAACACTGACCCAGCCTGAACTCCATTATTAATAATGCCACTAGGAGGCTGAATTCAAGTCCACACCAGTCAACTTTGTCAAAATTAATATGAACCAGAACAAATTTAAATTTAAAACTATCTACCCACCTCTGGCCCACAGGATCCCCATTTACAACCAATTTCTTAAACACCCTACTGAGAACATAGCTGTGGAGGAGGACTGTCAATTTATTAACTTATTTAATAATAAATACAGAACTTAAATTTCTCATTGAAGATTTATTGACCCTAATTTTGCCAGGTCTTCAAGTGAAGTACTTTGGAAACGGTGCAAATTCATTTAATCCATGAGAATAGTACTTAACATATTTACCTGAAATGCCATAGGCAAGAACAGGGCATGAATCATACAAATTTTCTGAAAATTTTTCCTTTATCAACCTACTTAGTTAAAGGATTAATAGCTCATGGGAAGTAAAACAGTATGAAAACATCCTTACTTGTAGGAGACATGCTGTTGGCTGGAGAAGGCTGGATGCCACGGGCAGATGTTGTAGCATCAAGCAGAGAGTCTGTTGGAGGGTTCACTGAGCCTGGAAGGATTAAATAGACATGGGTAATGAACAAAGTATTGTGATAGGAAGATAAAGTAGTAACTTAGTTCCCCCCAAACCTTTACTTATTCATCTAACAAATTATTATTGATTAAAAACCATCATTACTGCCCTGCTATGGGCAAGGCAGTGGAATTTAATGGTGGATGACAAAGACATGGAGCTTTCTTTAAAGAGCATACAGCCTAGAAAATAGATAGGTAGCCAGGCACTGTGTTTAGTGCTGTGACAGCAGAAGTGCAGGGTGCCATGAGAATGCAAAGGAGGGGCACCAACCAGCATTGAGAGGTCAGGGAAAGCTTCCTGGAGAAAGAGACATTTAACCAAAACCTGGTAAAACAATTACTGCAGCTAATGCTTTGAGGTATTTGAAAAGTAACCATACAGTTTACATATCCATAAACCCACAAATTTTTTTATTACTAAGAGTAGAAACAATGATACAGCTCTCCAATGGGACACAACATCAATAAACCTAAGACTGATGGTATTATTGTGCTCTTTCTAAAATTTCTATTTTTTTCATAAAACTTTTATTTGGCTATAGCTTTTCTCTCTCTGTGTGCGTGGGGTGTCTGGGATGAAAGAGAGGCTGGAATACGTTGTTTTACTTATCACATTATACATTCACGTCATTTCCTTAATAAGTCTCCATTATTGTACTGTAAAATAATCCTATTAGCATTTTAAAACAATTTAAAAATGTAAGAAGGACCTATTGACTTTAGGAATATGTGGATTAAATATAATTAAATGATTTCCAGGCTAGGGGATTTTGTGATTTTTCTAGATACCATGGCATTGGGTACAGTATAACACATCTGATGAGCTGTATCAATTATTTGGACATTTAATTAGAAATTATACTATTGTTCCTATTCTTTAATTTACTTTAAGGAATAAGTATATACAATTTAAGCTATGTCACTTGATAGCACATAGCGCATTGGAAGGAATTTGTTTTTGTGATCTAAATGCATCTATGTTTTATTCTCATTGGTAGTTTGTTATTGCTATTGGATATAAGTAGTACTCACAGCTGGCTGTGACTTGCTATCATAAATGATCCCTTGCTATTAATCTCTGAGGAGGTTGGGGGGTAGTTATATGGAGAGTATGTGAATAGGTCAGCAGAATGACTATTCTCTTCCCCTTATGCCATCTGGGACAAGTTTGAACTCTTCCGCATGACACACAAATCTGATCATGATTTAATCCCGCATTATACTCCTATCTTCATTTCCTGATGCTGACTATTATCTTTTACATCTCTTTAAAATCACACCCTCAGGACTTCCCTGGTGGCGCAGTGGTTATGAATCCACCTGCCAATGCAGGGGACATGGGTTCAAGCCCTGGGCCGGGAAGATCCCACATGTCATGGAGCAGCTAAGCCCATGCGCCAGAACTACTGAGCCTGCACTCTAGAGCCCACGAGCCACAACTACTGAGCCCGTGAGCCACAACTACTGAGCCTACATGCCACAACTACTGAAGCCCGTGCACCTAGAGCCCATGCTGTGCAACAAGAGAAGCCACTGCAATGAGAAGTCTGTGCACCACAATGAAGAGTAGCCCCCCTGCTCAGTGCAACTAGAGAAAGCCCACACACAGCAACAAAGACCCAACTCAGCCAAAAATAAATAAATACATTTAAAAAATAATACACCCTCAATCCAACAGGTAATATTTCAATCCAATTTACCAAACACAATGTTCTCCATGACTTCTTGATGTTTGTGCTTACTGTTTCCTAATACTTTCCCATCCCAAACTTCCTACTATGTACCTCTCAGACTTGAAGAATCCTAGGGATCTCTGTGATGCACTCATAGCTCTTAATGTTTGCCCTAGCAAAGGCCTCATTACTTCATCACTACACCTCTCAAGAGAAGTAATTGTTTTGTTTCTCACTGTATTTCCAGTTCCTGGCAAATGCAAGTGGATGAATTGAATGTATACAGATTTCTTCTTAACATTCAAAGAACAAAGATCAGCTTTAAGTACATACGTGACTGCTGGTGCATCATCTTCCAAAGTAGTAACCTTAATGAGATGGAACAGGCCTGGAAAAATAATGCCTAGGTGTTTTTCTCTGCAGATTGATTAGAATAGAGGTTGGCAGACTACGGCTAGGTAAAATCCCACTCACTGCCTATGTTTGTAAGTAAAGTTTTATTGAAACACAGCCATGCCCATTTGTTTATGTACTGTCTACGGCTGCTTTTGTACTACAACGGCAGAGCTGAATAATTGTGGTAGAGACCATATGGTCCACAAAGCATAAAAACTCACTATCTGGCAGATTGAAATCAGAAAATGTTTGCCAACTCCTAGAACAGAAGTTGTTGATAGGTTATGCTCAATCCTAGATTTCCAAAATGGGAAAGAAGCATTTAGTTTTCATTTGTTGAATATTTCTACTTTAAGATATTATTTTGCCATGTTTCGTCACCAAATGTCTTTGTAAAATGAGGGCTTCTTGGTACATACAACCTCAGAGTGCATTAGGACGTTGTTGCAAGATTTGCATTTTGAGATGAATCCTTTGCTCTGTGACAAAAGTGAGGCACAGCTTCACTGAGGCCATAAAGAGCCCTTTTAGTTTCAGACTGGCCTATAAAGGAGAAACTCTGTCTTGGTCAAAACAAAACTAAGAGGGTATAGTACTCCATCCGCTCACAAGTGTGTCTGTTCTGCACAGGACTGGCAGGGCTCTCAGGACCACCTTCATGGGCAGCAGTGGCCATGTGTTTGTCCCACAGGCAGCTGGGTCAATTCTAGAGCTTCTTCAGAGCTTGAATCAGCCATTAGCTGGTCCACCCAGAAATGAACTGAACCCCGTGGTTTGCTAGGTCCTTGCTTGTCAAAATGTGGCCCATAGCATCTCTTAGGATCTTGTTAGAAATGCAGGATCTCAGGCCCTGCCCCTCCCAACCCCTCAACTTACTGAATCAAAATCTGCTTTTTAACAAGAACCATAGGTGATCTGTATGTATAGTAAAATCCTTTATTGATACTCTCAGTATTCCCGGGATCAGTCATGGGTATGAGGGAAATCATAAAACCAGAAGTATTTTTCTGGCATACGTTACCTTAATATTCAGTGGTCCTCTCATCCCACTATCAAACTATCCATTTTTAATCCTCTCTCCACATCCCAAAACACACATACACACTCTCACACACACACTGAACCACTCATCAACCCTCAGCTCTCTTTGTATCCCAAAGGTCTTGATCTCGACAGTTACAGTTAGAAATCTATTTAATCAACAAGACAGGCAGAATATTACCCACCTCAGGAGATATCTGCACTCAACTCTTTTTTTCTTTTTATAAATTTATTTTATTTATTTTATTTTTGGCTGCGTTGGGTATTCGTTGCTGCACACGGGCTTTCTCTAGTTGCGGCGAGCACGGGCTACTCTTCTTTGTGGTGTGTAGGCTTCTCATTGAGGTGGCTTCTCTTGTTGCGGAGCACGGGCTCTAGGTGCATGGGGTCCAGAGCGCAGGCTCAGTAGTTGTGGAGCATGGGCTTAGTTGCTCCGCAGCATGTGGGATCTTCCCGGACCAGGGCTCGAACCCATGTCTCCTGCATTGGCAGGTGGATTCTTAACCACTGCGCCACCAGGAAGCCCCTGCACTCAACTCTTGAACTGAAAGAAACAAACTATTCCCTCTACCCCCAAAAAAACAAAACAACTCTTTGTATATGCCAAAACATTGACTCCTCCACGCTACAATATTAGACATTCTGACAGACTTGGTTGCCATGATAGGATATTTTTAGAAAGAGCTTATTTTAAAGTTACTGTTGAATCATGACAATTCTTCAGGCCCTGGTACTCGAATAGCTGCCTGACGAGCCACCTTCACCTTGACCCCTTCCCCTTTCTGAGTTTTCTAGAATAAGAATCACTGAGCACTTGAATGTCCCGAGAGACAGGTGGGTAGGTAGGGAAAGAAGCACCTCAGAGGGCTGTTACCTTGCAGCCTTCCAACATTGTTACTCTTTTCTGGGAACAAAAGAGAGCAAAATGTTCTCCCCTTCTCTCCCTAAATCTCCTTTTTGTTCTGTAATAGTCTTAGAATTTCTCTACTTTAGCACTAAGAGACAGATTTTTCTCCTGCATTTTCATGTCAATATCTGTCCCACAAGGCAATGACTCTTGCACAAGGCATCAAAACTTTACTCCAGAGTTTATAAAGCATCCAGCAGTACTACTGAAGGCAAAAAGAATGTTAGGAAGTAAATGTTTAAGAACTTACAACAAATAGGAAAATAGGACATGGCAGTGATATTGCTTTGCAGAGCCTCAACTATATCTTCGAAATCATTCAAAAGATAAATGTCAGAATATGAGCAGAATATAAGCTATAATTTTGGGAAACTGAACTGTTTAAGATTTACTGTCTTTAACATTTGATCGTAAAGGATAAAGACTCATTTGACAATTTTAAATTGCCTAAAATTATACTAGATCAGGGCTGTCCTGTAAAATTGAAATTATGGTGTGCTTTGAGTATCAGAATCAGTGCTCTTCCTTCTTACCTTAAAAAATATTCACTACTTTCTGATCTTAAGACAAAATACAGTTCAAGAGAATGAGAAGGAAAGCCTGGAAGAAAATGTTTGCAAAAGATATATCTGATAAAGAACTGTTACCAAAATATACACAGAATTCTTAAAACTTAACAATAAGGAAACAAACAACCTGATTTAAAAATGGGCCAGATGGACTTCCCTCATGGTGTAGTGGTTAAGAATCCACCTGCCAATGCAGGGGACACGGGTTTGAGCCCTGGTCCGGGAAGATCCCACACGCCGCAGAGCAACTAAGCCCGTGCACCACAACTACTGAGCCTGCGCTCTAGAGCCCCCAGGAGCCACAGTTACTGAGCCTGTGTACCACAATTACTGAAGCCCACACGCCTAGAGACTGTGTTCCGCAACGAGAGATGCCACCACAATGAGAAGCCCGCATGCTGCAATAAAGAGCAGCCCCCACACGCCGCAACGAAGAGTAGCCCCCGCACGCCGCAACTTAGAGAAAGCCTGCACACAGCAACGAAGATCCAACACAGCCAAAAATAAATAAATTTTTTAAAAAGTTAAAAAAAAATAAAAATGGGCCAGAGACAGATATCTCACCAAAGAAAGTATACAGTTGGCAAATAAGCATATAAAAACATGCTCCACATCATATGTCATCAGAGAACACAAATTGAAACAACAATGAAATACTGCTACACCTATTAGAATGGCTGAAATCCAGAATATTGACAGTACAAAATGCTGGCAAGGATGTGGAAGAATAGGAACTCTCATTCATTGCTGGTGGGAATTCAAAATGGTACAGCCACTTTGGAAAACAGTTTCTTGGTTTCTTATAAATCTAAACATACTCTTACCATACAATCTAGCAATTGTGCTCCTTCGTATTTACTCAAAGGAGTTGAAAATGCATGCCCCACAAAAACCTGCACATGAATGTTTATAGAAGCTTTATTTTTAATTGTCAAAACTTGGAAGCAAACAAGATGTCCTTCTGTGGATGAATGGATACATAAACTGTGGTATACGCATCCAGTGGAATATTATTCAGCGCTGAAAAATAAATCTATCAAGCCATGAAAAGACATGGAGGAACCTTAAATGCACATTACTAAGTGAAAGAAGTCAATTTTAGGACAGTGAAATTTTAGGGCTGTAGGACCTAACCTAACCATAATGATGAGTACATCGTTTGCCTAAATCTGTAGAATGTACAACACCAAGAGGAAACCCTAAAGTAAACTAAGGACTTTGGGTGATTGCTATGTGTCAGTGTAGCTTCATCAGTGGTGACAAATGCACCATTCTGGTGAGTGATGTTGATAATGAGGGAGAGGATGCATGTGTGGGGAGAGGGTATATGAGAAATCTCTGTACCTTCCTCTTAATTTTGCTGTGAATCTAAAATTGCTCTAAAAAATAAAGTCTTTAAACAATAACAAAAAAAAAAAGAACCAGTCTTAACATCATAAAATATTGTTTTTTCAAACGTGGCTCTGTCTATGATGGGAACAGGATTCTCCTTAGGAATTTGAGGTTAACTGTTTTTTAGCTCATGTCCTTAGATTCGGCCAAAGCTACTGGTGAATCTATGTGAGAACCAGTTACCTTTACACTGTTCCAAGACTGCAGCCCTAACCTTGTACAGTCTTCTGGAAAGGAGGTGCACTTATTTCTGAGGGAATTAGGCTAATGTGAGTATGGATATTTCATGACCATTTCTGAATGATGAACTCAAAATTCACAGAATGATGTGAACGGGCGTGGTTGCAGGCTTGCAGGGATCATGCTAGTGTCCTCATGTCTGAATGGCACCTGTTTCTGCATAACAGGGATGGGTTTACACAGCAACATACCCCATCCAAAGCTCGCAGGAACCAGCTAACAGCATTGGTAACAGGGCTGGGAAGGACCCAATATGCAGACTGCAGCCTTGAAACAAAGGGAAACTCTTTCCCTCATAAATTATTCTGGTTTTTATAAGTATGTTATGAACTACAATATCTCTGAAAATAGGAAGGTGGTAAAAGATGTTAATGGTTCTGCAGAGTCATAATAATGACTTGCAAATCTGTTCAAGTTTTATAGGTATTACTTTACTGTTACATAGGCATATTTGACAGTTGTCATTATGCACTTCTATTTTCTATAGACAATCTGTCGTCACTGTATTTGTTGAGATATTTGTTCACATCTTTTATGTAGTAAATCTTTATTGTTTGATCTGGTTCAGAGTAATGAATATTCTGGTTAATCTAATGTTGTAATAGTAGAATGATCCCACATATAAATTTTCAAGTCATAAAAATCCTCCGTGTCAGATTTTGTGCTTCAAGTCTAGGGATACTAAAATTGTTATAACAGCAGAGGTTGGCATAACACTGTAAATCAACTATACTTCAATAAAAAGAAAATAAAATCATTATATCTCATACCTGGTTTATCCATTCCTAAGTATTAGAATTATATATCCTATACATAAATGAATGTTTTTATAGACTCTGAAGTAATTTTAGGGTTTTAAAAACTCTCTTGATCATCAGTATGTTAGTGTTAATTTTCATTATATTGTAGATTAACAAAAATTCTAGTTTAGAGTTATTATTAATGGAATTTGAATTAAAAAATTGCTGTATTCACCAGAAATTCTTAGAAACAGGAATCAACTATTTTTTATTTGAAGAAATTCTTTTCAGTAGAGTTCCTTTAGTCAAAAAATGTCCATTACTTTGAAATCTAATAATTTTGAGTTGTGTAGAGAGAGTTTTCAGAGATTAAAATATCATGGAAATAATCAGTATTCTATTCATTTCAGTTAGAAATGTTCTGAACGTATGGCAGTCTTGGCCACCCCTTGTTGATCTCATTAAATAGACAACTCACCCAAGGAAAACGTGATCTTTTCGGATGAGCTATCCCACACTTTGTTTCCAGGGACTGGAGACACAGCCATACACCAGATGGTCAGGTTGTTTGATTGGGCTGGTTTATTATCATACACACTTGTCAAAACAGACTTCAGTTCCCCAAATCCTCCTTTGTCTTTTCTCTTTTCATTAGTATGTGTATTTCTACAAGGCAGATAAGCATAAGGTTAGTCCCCAACGTTTTCCATATGAGCCATACAACGATGCCAAGGTATGGCTAGAGGCAGTGTGGTTTATGGTGATATAGAATCTAAAGTGGTCAAACCACAGCTTCTTTGCAGCGAGCGTTTGTGCGGAAGGCCTGGAATTAACCTGAACTCTTTTGTTCAAGCTCCTGCATGGCATCGATCCATGGTCAAGGTATGAAATGTATTGATTAAAAGTGCTGCTTTATTTGTAACCATGGTCTAGTGGGTCTAGGGACAAGTTTTCCCAGCTCATCAGCATTGCTTATTGATAACAGTGAGATTGATGATTCGCCCCTGGCCTAGGCGAGAACCTGGGAGGACTCTTCTGTCGAGTGTGAGTAGTAGCAGGAATATGCCTGAGTGACCAGGAAAATATAAAACAACCTCAGCTGAGACTCCATTTTGGGCTCCCCACTTTGAGTGCTGTAAATGTGTACATGGGAAGCATATCCTTACTTTAAGAATATTGCTGCTAGATTATATCCTTTTCCTGAATTAAGCTGTAGACTTATAACACTGTCACTCTGGGTCCTGCAAGTCTTCTTTAGAAATATTAACTGCCACTGTTAGTACCACCTCCAAATAGCATACATGGTAGCAGAAAATGAATGTAAAACTCTCCATCCCTGGAGGCCAGAACTTTGTCTCACAGCTTCTTGACACTGAGGGTTCTAAATGCCAGTTCTGAAGCTATCACTTGCCAAAATAATAACTAAATGCAGTTGTGTGCTGGTAAAATTCTGGCCATACCTCCTGGCCTCAAGGTTGGAAGGGTAATGGGCACATCAAATCACAGCTTATTTAACAGAACATATCTATAATGACCCTTAAAAGAGATTTGCAGGATTGCATCCTGTCATCATCATGGGTGAATTGTTTTTAAAGTGATCTAATAACAAAACCAGTAATAGTCTCAAAATGAATCAAGTGGATCAATACAATCATTCATCAACGTAAACTTAAAATTTTATCAATTAAAGATCACAATGCAGCAAGAGCTATGTGACTCAGCGACTGTTGAAAATATACTGAGCTCTGAGGCAAAATGACTCAGGAGAAAGGAGAAGGGCTGCTGTCCCAGTCAGGAGACAGCTGGGATTGTTCCGGCAGAGGCTGCCATGTTTACCACCTATGAGAATATCGCTTTGTATGTTCTCACCTGAGCTTGTCTTGACGTGTGTCCTGCTCCAGGAACTTCTAATCCTCTTGGTAAACATGTTCCTTGCCATGGAGCCAAGTCCTTTATGTACACTTCCTCCAAACCTCCTCACCCCCAACCCACCCAGATCCTTGCAAGAAAAAGTAGAAACTATTTGTTTATTGGCTTAAAGCAGTGATGCTAAGTTCACTGAACTAACTGAAATGATTAATTCATGTAGGCTGAATTAAACTTGTTGGCACTCATATAAAAGATTTGCATTTACTGACGGTTAAATACAACATTAGTGTTTATATACGAATTGACCAAGTCAAATATATTTCTTATATTCTGGGAAATGTTACCTCCCAACCCCTTGGAGGAGCTAGATGAGGTATCAGAAAATGGCATTTGGTAGGCAAGATGATGTTTTTCTTGGAATGAGAATTGCTCTTAAATGCCAAGATCAACTTGGGCAGTGGCAACTTCTGTTGTGCTTTGTTTTCTTTCTTTGCCAAACCCACTTCCATTGACTGATTTCCTTACCTTCTCTTTCACCTTGAGGGAAGTTCTTCTCTATAAACCATGTAAGATTTGCTGTGGGCAATACATTCCTCAGTGAGCAGGTAAATATTCTCTGCAGGTGGTGAAAGGCAGAATACAGAAAGAATTATTTGCCAATTCAGAAGAAACTGAATTGATACCCCTTATATCTCCACCAAGCCTCAAACAAGGCAAATTGGCACAAAATTATTTTCTCCACTTTTAACAAGGCAGTGTTTACCTGTAAGAGGTTTAAAGAGTGAATTATAAACAGGCAATCTCCTATACAGATCTTATAAATTAATGGTTAGAATTTAAGGTCAATTTAAGAAGAATCTAGGACTATACTAATGTTGCAAGTCTGGATTCTGGGTTCTGGAAAAGGAAAATTACATCCCTACACAGGCAGAATAAAACTGTATAAATGGAAACCAAAGAATAGAAAGAAGAAGCTATAATAGGCAGCGGCCAGAGAAGAATATTCTGTTAGACTGAAAGCTAAAAGAGAGCCAGACTTTTGTTGCTTTCGTTCCCCAAATAATGTAAAGTACTATTTGTAGCAACAATTACAGGAACCATTTAATATAAACATCTCACTTTTGACTTGTAAAGAGTTTTCCTAATTAATTTTTTATTTTATCATCTAAACAATCCTATGGGCTAGATAGGACCCACCCTATTATTGCCATTTGACAGATGGGGAAATCAAGGCACAGAATCACAGAATGGTTAAAAGGAGAAGAATGTAGTTGATGGCACAATTGGAAGAGTTACCTTAATCCCAGTCCAAGACATTTCCTGGTAAAACACGTTGTATTGAAACAAGAAAGAAGTAGAAGAAGAGGTAGCTTATGTTACAAAACCCGGGAGCTTAGAGGAGGGTTAGTTATGTTTTATTTTCAACACTGTGTTTGTTCTTTGTAAGATGGTGGTTTTTTCAAGAGCCTGGTGAACATATCTGATAAGACTTATTGGATCTTCATTATTTTATCTGAGACGCTGCAAAATTATAATCCCACTTTTAGCTACTTGTTTTCTCATCCAGAGATATGTGTGTTTTACATATGACCAACCCTAGTTCTTAGTTCTCAAATATTTTTCATTGATGAACATGAATATTGATGAATATGCTAGTTAACTAGTAAAGAACAATTAACTATATTTAATGCTTGGTGTGCCGATTTCCCCACAGAATAGTGATGCGCAAAGAGTCTGGTCTTGAGCAGAACTGAGAAACCAAACCTAAGGATACTAAGTCCCATCTTTCTGGTGAGATCCCACTGAGGAGCAGTTGAACATCCCTCAGAACATCACATCATGGCAAAAACCCTAAGGAAATCATGAGACTTTCAGAGGAGGTCATCTGTTGTATCCAAAATGGTAGTAGCAAACACTGCAGCCCCAGCTTTCCTACCCATTCAGCACTTGCCAATGGGATGCAGGCACGTGACGGGAATGCAGCTCCATGAAATTATGTCTCTTTCTGTCCTAAAAGTAAAACCAGGTCCCCTGAATTGTATTCTTAATAAGTAAAGAGAATTCAGTTTATTTAATCCAATAAAGTGCCAAAGATTGATATTTATCTCCAGGTCGTCCATGTAAGAGTTATAGGAAAAAAATGTCTTTTAAAAGTTGTAAAAGTTTGCATTAATGCCCATACCTTTAACCCCTCTCATGATTCATTTTCTCCATGCTCATTCAACCCACCAAAAGATGAGGATATGGTCATATCAGGAACAAGTAGGGGTTCCATTATTTCATAAAGGCAACTGGCTCACTGAAGAAATTTCTTGTCAATTTAATAAAAATATCAAAAAGATTTAACTCTTGTAGATTCTCTGAATTCAGATTTCATGGAATGATTCAGATTTCATATATTCTATACGAGCTCCAGACAGTGTTCCAAGATTTTGTTTAGGGATATGGTTCTTGTCCCGAAACTCCTTTAGTCTCCAAAATTGAAAAGCTTCAGACTAAACTAGTTCAAATTGAAGTCGAACATATTATGAAATGTCAAGCACATATGGTTTTGCTGAGAAAGCAGAGCTGTATTTCCAAACAATTAAGAAGAAAAACATGCTAAATTTGGGAAAAAAATGAAGTAAATATGAACAAGAGTTTACGTACACATACATATAAGCACGCACGCGCGCGCACACACACACACACACACACACACACACACACACACACACCCCTTACTCTGCTGAGAAGTCAAAATCATCACTCACTCAGTGTGTCTGTTGCATTCATGAAACAAGTAAATTATTGGTTTCTCCAGCACATTATTCTAAGTACATATGGAATAAGTAAGCAGTAGCACAAAGAATTCTGCAGTAAGTGTCAAAAAGTATTTGGAGAGTTCTGTGGGAGTACAGAGAAGGATGAAATCTGGAAATAACTTAGAGGGCACAGTTATATTTTGTGGACAGGCAAGAGTTGGGCCTGGATCCTACAGGTGAAAAGTAGTGGGGGATTCACAAAGATGGGCAGATGGAACGGTTCATGGGCTTGGGAGTGAGGTGGGGATGTTGTCCTGGAAGGAGAGGTTGGAGCAGGATAAAACTGATGAGTCAGGAAAAATGAATCCAAATCTGGCTGTAAGACTGATCATTCCCTTATTTCCACAGATGAAATACTGAAATGGTGACCATTTGTAAATTATCCCATATTCAGTTTGCTTAAGTTTGGACAGAACCTTTTCCAAAGGACTTTTCACAGAATCAGTTTGAAAATAGCTGTTTAGTCTAGAAAGAGAAAACCTAAAAAAAGAAAAAAAAGAAAAGAGTTTCCCTATTTGTTTACCAGCTCTTCATTTCTATTTGGGGTCTCTCCATGCCCCACACATTTGATTTTCACTTGAAATTTGACTTTCAGTCTCTACATGTTTTCTACTCTACCATTTCTATATTTTCTTCTATAACTCAAAAGTTTTTTCTCCCATGGACACCTTCTTTAAAATGTGCCTGTCTCCTCTTGGTAGGTCTTCCTTCCTAAATCTATCTATCTATCTACCTATCTGAAATACATATTTTTTGCTTAAGTTGATTATACCTTTATTTCATTCCAATTGAGAGTAGAAGCCAACATATTTCAGCTTTTCCAATTCTAGTTACATAATATAATAAAAAGCAACCCTAAATTTGTTATATTACTCTAAATTGGGGGTGAAGTCCTTTCACTTAATCTTCCCCTTTCTGCAAGTTCTCTGGCTTTTCTACTGACTGTATTTACAACAGCAATAGTTTCCAACCAAAAATGGAGACTCATGGTCTGACAACTGGACAAAATATTTGAAACCACAGATATTCTGGAGGCATGTGGTTTCTCTGCCCGTGTGTCACCCATTCCCCCTCTTAAATCTCCTTTTTTGCTTGACAGGCCAGATGATCTAGTCTTCTGGAAACAGAACTAAGACTTGTAGGTGCTCGACTTACTGTTTTACTACATGATATTTGCCGGGGACAACTTTCTTCAGCGGTGGAGGGAGTCGGAGAAAAGTTTTGCATTTGTTGCAGAAAAACCCTACAGGCAGGGACACACCCACTTGGAAACCAGGCTTCCCTGGAAGTGGGAGGGAACAGGAACTGGAGGTGCCCTCCTCCCAGGGATAGGAGTCAGCTAACAGCCTTCTAAGGCGGCAGGAGTGCTCACCCTGCTCCGGAGCCATCAGAGACCAGTCCAGAGCCTTGCTTGCCTGTAAGTACCCACTTGTGGCTGGGAGGTGCTTCCTAACTGTTCAAGGTTCCAAAGCTTAACGAATAAGCTCTCAATCACTTAAGAAATGACCCAAGAAAGGAGAGAGAAGTCAGGCTGTTTTTAACATGTACTATAATTTTCCCTTTGTTTATTTATTCTTAAAATGAGGTACCTCTTAAAATAAGCCAAACATCTGGACTAAGTTGCTGTCAGGAAGTTCTCATCAGCTGTTGGCTTTGCAGGCGATGGTGCCTGGGAAGGTGGAGGATGGTGAGCTGCTTGCCGAGGACACCCAGGCACAACCAGGTCTGTGGAGATTCGCTCCACCTCTCTCTCCTTCGGGCATGCCAGCTCCTCCCGCTGAAAACAGCTAAGCCTGCTGTGTGGGCTTCCTAGAATCCCAGCCCCAGAGGGACCTCCCTAGGGACAAGCTAACCTCACATTGAGAACTTTATTTCCCAGACCCTGGCAGACTTTGTAGCCTCCGGACAGCCTGTTGCATCCGTTGAGGAAACGCGAGTCTCCGACATCAGCATCTGTCTATGCTTCGCTTCTACCCACGCTGAGGGAGACCCAGTGAGGCCCCAGCCCTGGGGCTCCTGAACAGCCTGAACCCTGAGGCTTCTCCTCCTGCTTCCAGAACGCATTGGATCGATCGCCAGGAGCACAGAAACAGCGGAAGCAGCCAGGAGGAGAATCAAGAGAAAAACCTAAAATGTTCAATATTCAAAAACACCCGTGTTGCTGGTTGATGTAGAGAACACTGAGCTCACTCAAGAGCTTTGTATTTGTTGCACTAATTTGTTTTGTCTTCTGGGCCAGCCAAGGAGGGATCAGTATGTATCCAGGTCATGGAGGGAATGTACAGGAGGGCCTCCGGGGCCATTTTGCTTGGCTCTGATGCACCCTTACTCTCCAGTGAAGCAGAAAGGAAACATCACACCACCCAGGTGTGGCCAGCCTTTGACCATTATTGCAAATCCCCAAGAGTCACCACAGTCCCTTGCCAAGTACACTTTTAGCCTTAGAGACTTTTGGAAAGGAAAGCTGTAAAGAAGAGACAGGATGAGGCGGGAAGAGGAGGAAGGAGAGGGAACCAGGATAAAGGCAAAAGGGGACTTAGAAGTGAAGGAGGAGGAGATCAGTGAGACAGGAGGACTGGTCGGCCCTTTTGCGGATACCACACCCACCCCGATGCCCCACAACAAGGGGACTTGGTTTTCCGAGGCCTGGGAGTATTTCCTCCTGGCCCCTGCCTGTGCTGGTCACCACCCCAACCCATACACCACCTGCCGCCTGTGTGGCGGGCAGGTGGGCCGCGGCCCTGGGGTTAACGTGGGCACCACAGCCCTGTGGAAGCATCTGAAAAGCATGCACAAAGAGGAGCTGGAGAAG